TATATATATAATATAATATATTCTGGATGGATGTACCGTTCTGAAAACATGTTGACCAAGCTGCCCAACGATAAGATGAAATTGAGTGCAGTAAATGAAGAAGATGCTTTAAGTCATATACGGTGATGGTGCTTAAAATGTCGACATTATCATTCGGTGTGAAAACAAGACTGCTTACGTTCGATAGCTGACGAAATGAGATATGATCACGTTGCTCACGAATGAAGAAAAACGCTGTTGTCACAAATGGATTAAAATGAAAAATGATCATTCTTTCGGCATTTTTCTCTGTTTATGAGAGTTCCACGTCAATACAACCATAAATCAATAGAATTGCTTGTTATGTTACTGAGATGAAACCACAGCATTCATATGCTTCACGATCAAATTACATCCAAAATGGTGTATACATGACAAATTACATTCAGAATATGATACCACTTCATCAATAAACACTAACCGTCCTTGTAAAATTGTCCGCAGATGTAAAAGTGCTACGATCGAGCGCACATTTAACGATGGATGGCATACAAATATTCGGTTGATTTTTTGCGCTTTCACGATGATCGATCCGACAATACTCTATTAGACTGCCTTCTTGATCCGTATAATTCTCTTGCTTCTCATCGTACTGAAAATAAGAAACGTCCATTCACCATTCTCTCGTCAGCCGTTTTTGATGATTTGAATCATTAGATCATTTGGGATCTGTGAATTTTAAAAGTGGTATGGTTTTGAACAGCCTACATTCGACGAGATATGGTATTCTTACAGACGGTTAAATGAGAGTAGAAACAATGAAATATTGAGGACAGGAAAATCACAAATTAATGGAGGCAGCTGGTAACCGATTTTAATCATGGTTGAAGTTTGCAATAGCACTCACATCGTATGAAATCATCAGAATAAAAGAAACAAGTGCATTGCATCAGTTGGAAACACAAGATCATATGAATTATTCAATAAAGGAATAAATAAACTTACATCATCAGTAACGTCGGTAATTTTGAAGTGATGATTATTATTGGCTGAACTATATGGGTTTGCTGTAGCGATCATCGTCATGTTAATTTCACCTTCAACTGGACACTGAAATACATTACTACCAGTGTGAAAGGAACAAGAAATCATTGAGTTCACGTTGAATTACGTTTGAAAAGTACGGTTTTCATAATATACGACCGAATAAATTTTAAATACTTTCCCACAAATTCAAACAAACTTGGAATCACTCATGTTTTATTATTATTATTAACATTATTCATTTTATTTCTTAATCGGTAGACACCAGACAATTGAACCATAGCAATAAGTTATTGCAATGACACAGAGCCGTTAAAAATAATATGTTATAAGCAATAGATCAAAACTTCAATCTCATCGAATATGAGGCTTGCTTAAGGTTGTGACAAATCGAATCAAACATCCGTAAATCTAACAAATTGGATACGGAATGAAACAAGTGGATGTTCTTTTCTTATAGTAATTAATTCTCATTTCACACCTTCAAATTCATTCATTTCATCCATGACCCAAATATATTGATATGCAAATATCGATTATTTAAATGCATCTATAGATGATTACTTGAAACGTTTAGGTGTATATCTATTACATCATAAATGAGACGAGTGCAATATAATGGTGCACCTTTCAATTCGAATTGAATACTTACCGCTTCAAAAATTGTAGGTGTGCGACAAGCACAATAATAGATGGTTCTATCAGAGTTCTGTCGTCATCACAAAAGGCACCCTAACTGACCGATAACTGCTTAATAATGACGAATTCTTATAGGATAGCCACAGAGCCGATTTCACAAGCTTCGCTAAAGTGGAATTAACTACCTATGACTTTGATTCGAAAGCATTTTTCGGTATACATATCATCTGTCAGCAACTCCGCCTTCCACACTAATTGTTCATCAAAGTTATTACTGCTTTCTGATGCTTGTTCACGAATCATGTTTTTGAGAAAGGCATCAATGGCATTAAGATATGATCGCAGTTTATGGACTGAGCATTATTTCGAGTGAATTTAACCGACTTTCCACCTCCAGTTGATCATCGCGAATAGAATATGCTTCAGATTATTTCCAGGCTACTTTCAGCCATTCGTACTGGATTTGATTGTACAGTTTGATCAATCTTTTGATTGTACAGATCGAACGGCTGCACTCTACATGTTTGTGTAATAGAAACACTTGAAAATGAGTAGAAAAACTGCGATTACATATTATATATGTGATGCTAAATAGTACTGTACGAATAAAGAGTGCTTAATACTGGACAAGCATATGATTCGAAGAAGACAAGGCTACTTGGAGTTGTTATGGTATAAATGCAAATGATGATGACAAAGCAAAACCGGAAACTGGAGGCACCTTTCGAGTAAAACAAACGAATTTGACCTGAAACGACTGCATCACGATAAATTTGATGAAACGACTCGCTTAAGTTAAAAAATTCAATCCATGAAAATGACAAAAATAATGCATTCGAAATTAGGGACTTCAAGAATTTGAATTTTTACTCGATGCAGTTAAAAATGCAGAAATTCTTCGTAGCAACTTTCAGAAAATGGAATGATCTATGACAACAAAGCTGTTTTTGGAGGATTGATAATTTTGATAAGCAATTTATGGAAGGAAATTTGGTGACAACTTGCTTGATGTCACGAAATAGGAGTGCTAAAAATTGGAGAATTGATTTGAAAGGAGATGAATAGTTATCATTCATGTGAAATGAAAGTAACGACGAGGTGAATGATAAATCTCATTATGCTAAACATTTGCATAATTCATCAATGCTCTTTTGAATGCAATATAAACTTCGAGATGTAGTAATAATCGACGCCTTCATTTTTCAGTTTCTGATTTCCGAAATTTCTTCGTTATCGATCAATAAGAGAACTAAAAAAAAGACAATAAAACATGGCACAAACGCATTTTTGTCCTTGATTGTGATCGTTATGGCTTGAGAAAACTACATTGTCAAATATCTTTCAAAATTTTGAAAGATACCAAGGTCAGTTCATAACAGAAGAAATGTGATGAGAAATGAACTGCCGATTCATTTACCGTTTGAATTTAAACTTGTCACTGCTAACAATGAACGAATACCGAACGAACTGAGTACGAGTAGAGAATAACGAGAACGGATGCGCAACAAAACGGAAACATTCTGAATTCCTCATTGAGAAGCTTTTCGCTGAAGAGGGAAGAACAGCTGGGTAGAAATTGGCTGCCTTCAAATGAAAGACATGAAAGATTGAAAGCATGATTATAAATTAGGCAAACAAACGGCATACAATTTCGAATGAATATTAAGTAAACACAAAAAATGAAATTGGTTGCACAATCTGTGATTAAACGACACAAACGTAAAATGACACGATAGTGAAACGATGGAATACAAACTTATTGTTCACATATTCAATTCATTCGCAAAAATCTCGTAATACTTCATTAATTTGAAAGATCAGCACAAGTCTCTTCGAATCAAGACAACTGTAACGCTCAAAATCGAGCGCTCGATGGAAGTGAAGAATTTGGAATGGTAATAATTCCACATCAATGAGAGAGATTATTCCTAAGTATCAAATCGACATGTAAAAATAACCAGAAATAGAAGAAATATTTTTAAAAGGAGCACATCATCAATAGGTTGTACTGCAAAACTTGTCACGCAATGAAATCTGATGATGCATTACTCGAAATTGATAAGAATGCTCATGAAAAGGTAACATTTCACAGTGATCTACTCACTCTTAAACTGAAAAGAAGAGATGATTTTTCTACTCAAAACTTACGCTTCTGAATTCGAGATATTTTTTAAATTATGAACAATGGATGATATATGGGATGGTACATTTTCAAGGTTACATCAACCAACCTAAAAACTTTGTTTTTCTATCAAATCAAATACATCAAAAATCATTATCAATTACTTCATCCTTCTCGTAATATACTTTTAAAATTTTTGTGTTTATTTACCAGGTGTGGCATAACTACAAAATAACGGTAGTTGCGAAATGCTTCACTTTGATATGAGGCTGACAAAGACCTTCTTCGACTAAAACAAATTTGGTGAATATGACTGCCGGTGAGATGAGATTAATTTTGAATTAGCTTTCGTTATAATTGGTTAGGGACCGAAACTGATGGGTTCACAGTTACTGATAAATACATCAACTCATCCATCGAAATTGATTAATATCAACCGCTCATTTGTAGGTGTGCTCGTTCATAATGAGTAAAAGATGGTCATGAAGCGATGATGTGAACTCGAATGTAGAATAGTTTTGAAAAACCTTAACAGAAGGTAGAACACTGAAAGCTGAATACAAATACAATGAATGCAGCTAACGAATCTTGTGATATAATTTTCACTGTTATCATTTGAAACGCAATAAATAAATTTAAAATGGAACACATAAAACGAACAAATATAGTATAGTGGACATGTCGAACTTTAGAAAAATTATTTTAATTTTGAGAACTAAATGATGTGAAGTAGATGTAGAAATGAGGAACTGAACGACGAACGCGTATTTGAAACGAAATTGAAACGATTGGACGTAGAAGTGAGTTAAGAAATGAAATAACCAACTACTATCTCTCTTCCATCCAACTGAACGAGTTCTTGCTCAGTTCATTTCACCTTAGAAGGTGTCAAACGACGCAAACACGAATACATCTATTTATCATAAATCATTCATCACTGTACGTATATCACATAAATATACATCTCAGATCAAATACAACCACGGAGTTCGCTGCAATCGGACCAAATACAGCCACAGTTTTAATTTCTAAAAGTCATCCATACAATCAGCGAAGAATGATAAGAAA